TCAACACTTAAAAACACATCATTAACCATAATAGAAAATAATAAAGGACTAATTATACTCCCTTGTGGTGTTCCATTCTCTACCTTTATTATCTCTGAAAATGCTTTCCCAATCTTTACTTGAATAGATCTTCCAAATAGAAAACCTTTAATCCATCTTATCATTTTTCCTTTAACTCCTGCTTTTCTCAATTTAATTATTAACCCTTCTTTCCACATCATATCATAAGCTTTCTCGATGTCAAAAAATACTGCCACTACACTTTCTCTATTAGCCTGAGCTCTTCGTATTTCATGTTCCAAACATACTGTAGGGTCCATAGTACATCTACCTTTTCTAAATCCACTTTGATAATTACAAATATTCCTTTTAGTTTCCATAAAATATGTTAGTCTCTGATTTATATTTTTTTCCATTACCTTACATAAGTGCGAAGTAAGAGAAATTGGCCTGTAATCACATGGACTATTACCTTCCTTCCCAGCTTTACGTATTGGAACTACTAAAGCTTCTTTCCAGCAACTAGGTAATTGTCCCTTTTCCCATACCTTATTATATAACTCTAAAAGTATACTTTTTGATGATTCACTTAAATTTTTTAACATTATATAACATATCTGATCTTTACCTGGCGCTGATAACCTAGTACTTCTTAATGCACTATTTAATTCTCCTATTGTTAATGGCAAATTAAGTATGGTCTACTTCACTTTGTCAGGCAGGTCCTATTTAAGAGATTTCATTATTGCGAACAGGTGTGGCAGTAATCAGGCCTAGGTGTGGCTAGAGAAATTGAACTCAGGTGTGATAAACCACAGTTTTAACAGGGGGGAAAACACTTCTTCACACAGGGCCATGTAGTTTGGGTTCCCTTATTCCCTTAATAATAAAAACATTCATTTAAAAACTGCATGTTGTGTTTACTTGTGTTATCTTTGACTAATATGTTTGATGATTTGATGATCTGAAACATTAAAGTGTGACAAACATGCAAAAAAATAAGAAATCAGGAAGGGGGCCAACACTTTTTCACACCACTGTATATACATTTACATTTAGTCATTTAGCAGATGCTTTTATCCAATTATTCATATTCATATATGATGTGTTGAAATATGTGTATTAATTATGTATCTAATATCTAAAAGCTTCCGCAAGACAACAAATTCAGTGTAATTCATATGCAAAGTTAAGGACAGTATAAGGACAGTCCATACTAATTCTATTCAACAATTATGGATTACAATGAAACAGTGAGTAATATTTGGACGGTCCTGAGTGCCATAATGTAGTCAAAGACAACAGTAATGGGGATAATGATGATGAATAGTTAATGGAAAGATGCTGCAGACAGCATTTACGTTAGTGTCCTACAGAGTCTGGATCCAGTCCAATGCAGGGGGTAATTAGGCTACTTAGGGTACATTCTTACTGCATCCACTTGAGAAACTATTCAGGCTTGTTTGTTTGCATGATTCAGGCTCCTTCAGTTATTTTTAGATTAATTGAGCAGACAGGTACTATTTCACATTTGAATAAATAAGATGTGTCACTTGCAACAAGCAAGTTGTTTAAGTTGAGTATGAAGCGAAGTTGAGCATATATTTGTAAAAGGATCAGACAGCTCTTAGATTCCATCAAAAATATCTTAATTTGTGTCCCGAAGATGAACGAAGGTCTTACGGGTTTGAAACGACATGAGGGTGAGTAATTAATGACAGAATTTTAAATTTTGGGTAAACTAACCCTTTAACGTATGAGGCCATGAATGTCATATTGAAATAAAAAAAAAAGATGTTACATTGCAGATAAAGAAGCTGCTTTGATAAAACAAAATCTTTAACATGCATCTCTCTTAACACTTTAAAACTGAAAAATGAAAAGACCTCCAAGTTAGAGCAAATTTGGACAACATCTTAATAATAACTAAAATGAATAATACATAATTTCTTTAAGAAATTATCACTTTCATTCTCAATTTGACAATAATACATACGTATAATCTTAATATTTCATGGTGTTATATATTTACTGTAAAGTAAAACAGTTGACAGTACTAAAAAACAGCACTTCAGGGAGCTGGTTATTTCTGTCATTGCGTTCTCTGTAGTGTTGTTGTGCTGCTGCTTCTATTTATGCCTATTTGCCTGGCTGGACATTTACCTCAGTCTCCCTGCGGAAGTGAATGAAAATCTATACCAATTAATCACACAGCCAGTAAGTGACTAAAGCTGCCAACTTAGTTCAATTAAAAAGCTATTGCAGTGAGATTAAGGAGGGTTTAGGTATCAGATAGTATAGATAATTTCTTATCATTCTTTTTTCTACCCAAATGTGTTTAATTTCCAAATGTCATGGCAACCAAACTGCAATTATTGATTCAACAACCTATAAAAAGTAAATTGAAGAAAACACATTCCACAGGTCAAATATAGGGGTTTTCATATGCTCCTGAAGGAGACATTTGTTTAGACAGTTGTCCCTCCAGATACTAATAACATGCTGTAGTTTGGTAATGTTGTGCCAAGAATATTCAAGAATATAAATTCCTATGATTTTCCCCCAACATTGCTTTCAAGGAAAATTACACATATTCTTTCATTATCCACAATGGTAACAAAAAAAGCACATATTTTGCTCTTCCAAATGATGTTTCTTTTATTGTTTATTTTCAGCT